AGGCGAGCTGAGGTGCGAGCTGTATTACGAGATGATAGACTCAATCACTAAGGGAGACCACGACGCCGCGCAAGTTGGGCGCAAGTTGATACTTCCGTCGACTTTGCCGGAAGTGATCGTCAGATGAGTCAGCTCTACCAGGATGCAATGGCCATCGTGCGCAAGTGCGTTGGCCGAACTTTTTCATTACATTCGCGTATACTTCAAAGTGGCCAGATATCACAGCGGAGCTAGAATTCGGACAGACGGCGCAGGATCGGCCCGACTTGGACGCAAGAATTTTTCACATTAAGTTAAAGGAGCTCATGCGTGACCTCAGCGAGCGAAAAATTTTCGGAAGCGTTGTCGGCAAAGTATGGGTTATTAAATTCCAGAAGCGCGGTCTTCCGCATGCGCACATCCTCTTCATACTATATGATGCATCAAAATTACGCACCGCCTGAGGATTCGACTCGGCCGTGTCAGCGGAAATCCCGGATCAAGGTATTCACCTGGATTCACACGAGACCGTCACGTGCAGTAGCTTAGTGCATGGACCTTGCGGTGTGGAGAATCCGAAGGCGCCATGCATGGAGGACGGCAAATGCACCAAACACTATCCTAAATTCTTCGTCGATCAGACGTCAATCGACGTGGACGGCTACCCTCTACACCGACGGCGTGATGATGGGCTGTTTTTTTGTTGACGCGAAAGGCCGCCATGTGTACAACCGCTGGATTGTGCCGCACAACATCTACCTCTGTTGCAAGTATGATGCGCACATCATTGTCGAAGTAAGTCTGACGTAACTGCTTTCAGAGAAGTCGGAGAGGCGTATGAATTTACACTGACTAACACTGAACATTTTCACAGATCTGTTCATTGATCACTGCCATCGAGTATCTTCTCAAATACGTCTACAAGGGGCACGATCGTACGACCGCAGTGCTCCAAGATGAGAGCGAGATCAAGAAGTTTATTAACGCGCTCTACGTTTCTGCGCCGGAAGGATGCTGGCTAACTTCTAGGTTTCAAAAGCGACCACTTGCCGCCCGTCCAGCGCTTGCAAGTTCAATTACCGGACCAGAAGAACACTATATTCAATGCGGATGGAGACTTGATTGACACGGTGAACGTGGACCGTGCGCGAAAAACGACGCTTACATAGTGGCTTTGCAGCCAATCGAACGATCGCTCTCGCGCGAAATACGTCATATCTGGACTTCCCATTCCGATTTGTGTGGGGAAAAAACAAGGAGTGGACGGTCCGGAAACGCGGGATTTGCATCGGCCGGCTCTACTTTGTAAGACAAAAATCAGGCGAACAGTACTTCTTACGGACACTTTCAACGACTGTAAAAGAACCAACATCTTTCACCAGCCTGCGGACATACGACGGCGTCGAGTAAGAAACGTTTAGGGCGACCTGTGTCGCGCGCGGGTTGTACGAGAACGACGAGGAGTGGCAACAGTGCTTGCGTGAAGCTTCGGTGATGAAGAGCGGGGCGCAACTACGCTGTTTATTTGTTACTATCTTGTAACAGGGACTCATACTGAACCGAGACGGCTATGGGATGAGTTTAGCAGCCATTTGTCGGACGACTGTGCCCACCAACTTCGTCAACGTGGAAATGCTGAGATGTCAGCGGATCAGATAGCTAGCTTCGCTCTCAACCTCATCGCGCAGCTCCTACTCGGGTTCGACAAGACGCCGACTACAATCTTCCGGCACCAGCTTTTCGAATAGACGATCTCGAGGCAATCGCTTTATCATGGAGCAGCTCGCGTTCGATGCCAACACTTTAGGACAAGACTGACCGTGACATTTAAACCCTTAACGCCGAGCAGCTCAACGCTTACCGTGAGGTCATGCTGTCCTACAACCAAGGGGACGGCCGCATATTCTTTGTCGACGGTCCAGGCGGTACAGGAAAGACGTACCTGGAAAATCTCATGCTATAATCGGTGCGTAGTTAAAAGAAAATTGCGCTTGCAGTCGCATCCTCCGGCATTGCGGCGCTGCTTTTAAGCGAGGGACGTACGGCGCACTTAAGATTCCTATCGATTTGAAGCCAAACGCGGTATGTGCGATCAGCAAACAGAGCGACCTTGCAGAGATGATCCGCCGTACGACGCTCATACTGTGGGGTGAGGCCCCAATGATGAGTAAATTTGCTTTCGAGGCTGTGGACCGCACGCTACGTAATAATATAAGCGATCGGCCGAACTCGCCGTTTAGAGGGATTACTTTCGTTATGTGTGGCGACTTCCGTCAGATCCTACCCGTCGTCCCAAAAAGCCTGCGTCCAGACGTTGTCGCAGCTTCAATTAAGGCGCCTTACCTATGGATGCATGTGAACGTCTGGTATTTGCGGGAATAATACGCGCCGTCCATTCCAAGCTAATCGCAGACCTCGGAAACAAGACGTTTGCAGATTGGCTGCTAGCTGCTGGAGAGGATTGGCTGGAGAAGCTTGACGAGGACCGTATACGCTGCCCTGACGCAATGGTTATTAACCCTCTATCCCTCGATGGGTTGATTAATTCCATTTATCCTGGTTTTGCGGATGCTGTCATGTATCCACGAGTGTACTTCAGCCGTCGTGCTATTCTTGCCGCCCGCAACGACAACGTTGCAAACGTCAACATGGCGGTCCTCAACATGATTCCTGGCAGAACTTACGAATTCCTCAGCGCCGACAAGGTTGATGACGAGGAGGACGCCAATGTCAATCCGACTAAGTATCTTAACCGACTAGACATAAATGGCTGGCCGCCACATCGCCTGCAGCCTAAAGTTCGCTCACCCATCATGCTCTTACGGAACCTGGATGCATCGAGCGGCCTATGCAACGGCACCCGTCTCATCGTAGGCCGGTGTTGTTTGAAGCTGAAAGTTTGGTGGGAGCTCACGCTGATTACGTGTACGGATCGCGCTAATTTCCGAGCAATCAGGTCTTCCATACGCCGTCCGGCGGAAGCAGCTTCCCGTGCGCTTGGCTTACGCAATGACAATAACAAATCCCAGGGACAGACACTGCAGCTGTTAAAGTTCCTATGTTACCATTTTATGTTTGATTACCCGAAGCTCATGTTGAAACTCCTACAGCAGGTTCTGTGTTATTAGCCGGTATTTTATTAAAATTAGGATCATATGATATGACTAAGTTTTTAGTTCCTTTATTTTCTAAAGCTGCTTTATTCTTTACACCTTATTATGTACGTATTCTCGCATGGACAATTGTACGTTGCCTTCTCACGTGCAACGGCATCCCAGAAGGTGTCGGTACTTTTAGAAGCAAGTTCCACGCTGCGTCGACTGATGCGCAATGTTATATATAGCGAAGCGCTGCGTTAAAAATACTAAATGTAGCAAAGCGGTGTGTTTGAAATGCAATGTTCAATTCAGTGAAGCTCTGCGTAAAGGATGCATATGTATCGAATATACAAACAAACAGATCAGACTTTTTAAAAACCATGTCCGTCGGAACGACGGGTATACACCCTGAATGGGAGGGGTTCCTCCCTGGTGCCTTGGGCAAGCACCGGCTTGTGTCGTAAGTGGCGCAGGTTCAAATCCCCCTTCGACCAACCCAAGGTCTTAAAAACAATGTGGCACACACTTCTCTCACTGGTACTCTCCGGGAACCCTGGTACCAGTGAGTACGGCCTCGCGTAGTAGCATGAAACCCCAATACAGAATAATTGGGGCTATCCGAACTGGTTGGCACCCAGAACATTCGGTTAAACAAACCGCCCGTCCATGGCACGATAGCCATGACCGGTTAGAGGATTAATGAGCCCTGCCGAAGAGGACAAGTATCAGGCCGCCAGAGAAATCTAAATGTGCCGTCTGGCCTATATAACGAAAAAAAACACCCTGAATGGGACAATATACTATCAGAGTAGAGTTCTACGTCCTATTTAAAGGAGAGACGGGCACACACCCTAGCAGCATCGACTTCGCGCAGCATTCCATCAAAACAACGCGATATTCTTAGTAAATAAACTATTATGTGTAGACTTCGCGTACGAAATCGTCGGAATGACGGGTAAAGACACTAGCAAATAGCTGCGTTTAAAGACGCATAAATATACCATCGCGCACCGTTGGAACGACGGGTGAACACTCTAATCTATGTAATCTTCGATATAATAAAAGAATTATGTCCGTCCGTAGTGCTCCTTTTCCGGCATTCGGATTGGCTAATTTTGCATTATTTGCTAATTTGCATTGGCTGCTATTGTATTTTGCATAGATAATAACATGAGCAAATTTTCATAACAGGATATATAGTCCATCCAGTGTGTCCGTATTCCGTGCCTCGTTTTATATAGTTAATCATCACCCGATGAATACACATTAACTTCATACACATCATTACTTATTGCTATATCAAACACAGCATAGTATGAAATATTAGACAAGGCATATGCTTTTTATACGTTAAAAAATACGGGCTTAGTGCTTAAATAATACACTAAAAATGGCAAAAGCAAGTATTGTATCATACATACTGTAGTAGAGTCAACCGAATTATTTAAAGTAAAAAATAGGAACAAATATCAAAAAGCAGACTTCACTCACCATGTCCAAGGAAACGACGAGTGAACACCCTAGCACATCGCTGCGTTTTAAGATGCCTATACATATTACTTCGCACGTCGGAACGATGGGTGTACACCTTAATTTGCTCCAGACATCCTTTTATATGCACTAATAAAGCAAACAGATCACCATGCAAGATCTTAGCATTAAAAAGCTGTTTGGCCAACATTCAGTCCTTTAATATATTTAAATCTATATTTATGGTTTGCGCGCACCTTTCCGTCCGAACGACGGGTGAACATCCTAGTTAACAATGATAAAGACAATGATAAAAGTTCTTAATGTTATATTTAACTCAAAATCTGTAAAACTTCGAAAACGTATCAAAAAGCTCATTCTTCGAAATCATAAAGTATAGAAGGACCCAGTGCTAAATCTCTTTGATTTTAAATCATCCAAGAAAAGTGAACGATGTCTCGATGCGTGACGCTTTTGCTGCTACTGGCAGCAATTTTCGTCGTCACTGATGCGAGTGATGCCAAACAGGAAATCTTACGTACGCATATGTCAACCAAGACGTTATATGCGCCTCCTTTGTCTACAGAATCGAATATTCAAGAAGATATGTGCACCCCCGTGCAGCTCAATTTTGTTATTCGTCACGGTACTAGGAATCCCACAATGAAGGACATCAGGCGAATTAACAACACTCATTCGAGGATATTATCAAATCGTAAAGTGGGGTCATCATGGACGTGGGTAGGGGACTGGAAGAACCCGTACCCGAAAGAGACGGAAGCGTGGCTAGCAGATCGTGGACTTCATGAACTTATTGAGATTGGAAAGCGGCTAAGAGCTCGATTGTCTCCGTTTCCAGTGTCTTTTGATTCAAAAAAGTTTGTGTTTGAACACACGTGGAAGATCCGGACACGGCAAAGTGCTGAGGCCTTTGCATTCGGATTCTTTGACGGACTTCAGCCAGTGTACTACCATAGCTATCCGATCGGAGATGATCATGTACTGCGATTCTATGACAATTGCCCGATATTTGAGATGCAGATTGATAAGAATAAGAGTGCTACTGTTGAACACATGAAATATCGTGATAGTGAGCTGATGCACAAGAATCTGGCAACGTTTCAAAAGTTGTCGGAGTTTTCGGACGCGACACAGAAGGATATGGAGGCGGCGTATGCTGGTTGTGCTTTCGATGTAGCTGTGCTCAATGTGTTTGACAATTGGTGCTCGTTTTTCAATAACGAAATGCTGCTTTCTATGGACTACTTTCAAGATCTCAAGCATTTCTACAGGAAAAGTCACGGTCATGCGCTGTCCTACGAAATCGCGACGCCACTATTACAGGATATTTTCCAAACCATGAAGCAGCGTGTGGATGGCAAGAACGACGTGGAAGGATACTTTCGCTTTGCGCATGCCGAGACTATTTTGCCTTTGGCATCGCTTTTGAATGCTAGCTACTTTGATCGTCACGCTAGTGATCGTGAAGGTCACTTCCGCGCGGACACTCCGCTGGATCTAGCACTCCAGCGAAAGTTCAAGAGCTCTGAATTGGCCCCTTTTTCCGCCAACATTGGTTTTGTACTCTACGAGTGTGCTGCGACGACAGAAGACGCCAGGCCAACGTTCAAGGTGCAGACATTGCTCAACGAGCATGAGGTGATATTCAACGAGTGCAAAGGCCAAGTGCTTTGTCCATTCGACGTGTTGGAGAATATTTTTCGCAAGTGGATATACGAGTTTGACTTCCACAAGTACTGTGCACTTGATTAAGGTCTTCGAAAGGGATTGTATGAACGAATTACTGACATTAGTGAACTGGTTCCCTCTCTCTCTCCTCTCTCTCTTTGTCGCTATCTCCGTGGCTCATTATTTTGCTTTCATTCTTCCTTCCATCGTCGTTTGTGTCGTCTTTCGACCATCATCTCATTATCATCCTTCTAAGCTTTTCCACATTTAATATGACGGCGTGTAATGTCGAATGTTGGCTATTCCGTAAGTTATTAGAGTTCGTGGTAGCTGTAGGCCAGTGTCGTATGGTACTGCTTGATGTGTTTTACCACCAATGCCTGCATACACAGCACTCAAGGCAAGCACATTCATGATGTTCCGACTCAGCTTCTTTAGCAGCCTCTTGCTCGGGAACACCAAGACTGTAAGCTTAAAAGGAGAAAATATGGTGAAAGAAGCCGTTGCGTACGTTCAAGACGCGCGCCGCGTGTACGACACAAGTAAAAGCTCGAAACAAGTTGCAATGCAGACACCGACCGACCTAAGAAATACTAGCTCGTTTCGGTGGCTCTCCCTTAACGGAAGGATGGAAGATTTGTGTGCGATTAAATGTTTGAAAAGAACACTACTAGCTGAGTAGATGCCAGCTTGGTCGGTCACGTCGGTTCGACCGTTGTAGCTGATACTACGCTTGAACAATGACCACTACTCTGCCAAACACCAGAGACTGCTTACAGCACGTCCACGCAGTTCAGATCACGGAACGCCTGTTGCAAACGACTGATCATCGACTCCTCCGACTTGCGGACCCACACACGAGGATCGTAGTACTTCTTGTTCGGGACGTCTGCACCATCGGGGTTACCGATCTGGCCCTGCAAATAGTCCTTCTTGTCCTCGTAAAACTTGCGCAGACCGTCCCAGTACGCCCACTGCGTGTCCGTGTCAATGTTCATCTTGACCACACCGTTGCCCACAGCCGTCTCAATCTCTTGAGCCGATGAGCCAGAGCCACCGTGAAATACAAAGAACACGGGCTTGTCGTCCTCGAGCGACTTTTCCTTAGTGACAAACTTCTGAAAGTCACCCAGGATCTCGGGGTGAAGCTTCACATTACCCGGCTTGTACACGCCGTGCACGTTGCCAAACGCAGCAGCAATCGTAAAGTTCGGTGACACGGCGCTCAGCTCGTTGTACGCCAGCAGAATGTCCTCTGGCTGTGAATACAGCGACGCATTGTCCACTTCACTATTGTCCACGCCGTCCTCCTCACCGCCAGTCAACCCCAACTCAATTTCAAGGATCAAACCCATCTTGGTCATGCGTTCAAAGTACTTCTTACTGAGAGCGACATTCTCCTCCATTGGCTCTTCTGACAGGTCGAGCATGTGTGAGCTCCATAAAGGAACGCCATGTTCTGCAAAATACTTTTCATCAGCCTCCAGCATACCGTCAAACCACGGCAGCAGCTTCTTGGCACAATGATCCGAGTGAAGAATCACTGGGATTCCGTAATGTTCGGCCATGGCACGCACGTGATACGCAGCAGCAATGGCACCCAACACCGAAGCTTTCTGATTCTTGTTGTCAATCCCCTTGCCAGCGTAAAAAGCGGCACCACCATTCGATGTCTGAATGATAATGGGCGACTTGATGTCACGAGCGGCTTGCAAAGCGGCATTTGCCGTCGATGATGACGTCACATTTACGGCTGGAATGGCAAACTTGTGCTCCTGAGCGTACTTGTATACCTTCATAATGTCCTCACCATTGAGGACACCAGGCTGGACGATGTCGAGAAGACCCATTGTTGAGATAAGAGTAGTCGAAGCTGTGGAGGGGGGGGGGGTTGAAGAAGAAAGAGTCGAAATGAGGATATTTGGCTGTTTGATGGCTCGCATAAATAGGGGTACCGAGCCAAACTTTGGTGGTGACCCATCAGACCCACCCGCTTTACTTTTTGTTGTCCATTAAAGATGTCGTCTATAAAATCACTCCCATTTTGTTTTTATTTTTTAGTATAAACCTATTTACATGTGCAAATTAAATTATAAGCACCAATTCGAGTACTTCAACACGCTGTCGGATGGATCGAGCAACTTTCTTTTTATCAAAAAGGAACATTCCCGAAATGTCAGTGTATCGACATTGGGGCCAGAGAGGTGCGCAATGACAATTTAATAACTAAAACGTAATGCTTCGTCGATCAGGTGACAACACCTTTTACGCAGGTGATAACATATTTGAACTCGTTAATAAAATGCGTCATCATGCCTCATTGATTCTGTTTGAGGAGATTTTAAACGGGTTATCGCCGCTCGAGGGGCTTTGTCACATAGTATACTTCCTACTCACCAATATTGTCAGTCCAAGGCGGTACAATGCAACATGTCATTTTGTTAAGAGTACCGCATTTCTAGACCTATATATATGGATTAACGATGTAAGGCTGAGCCCCAATTCTGATAAGTTTACAAAAGGTGCGGCGTTTAGAATGAAGAGGTACATGAAGCTTGGCTTCTTTTATCGTTATTTTACCCTTGCTAGCTTGAAGCCTTAGTAAATTGCTTCAGACGGTCTCGCACCGTTTATTTGTCACATTGTAAGTTCTAGTTACCACAAATTCCATGCGCTCCAAATTGTCCCGAAAGTAGATCTTCGGGAGAACTCGCGGTCAGACTGTGCATCACCACAGATACCACCACTTTTCGTTGTGTAGCCAATGCGTGGTATTGATAAGGCAATAAGTCTAGAAAGGTACCTACTTTTGTACAGCGGGCCAGTGCGAGTTGCAATCTCAATTTCTTGTCGAATTTACAAGTACTGGTACTCGACTACGTGATGTCGTACATTGCACGACATGATAGCATAGCGTTGTACCTTCGCCGCAGGTTCCAGCGCTTTCAGCACGACCGAGTACACCGATGCTGCTATTCGATTATCAATCAAGCACCATGTCTTTTAGATCGGTCATGATCGAACGGACAGATTCAAATGTCGTCGGTGGTCGGTGAACCTTGTCAAGAACCGCATCTACATTTACGTCGAAGTCGCGGGGACCAAAGCTTTACTGCTACCAACTTGCAGTAGTCTGCAAGTCGTAGTCTTTAAGCTTCAAGATGCAATTCGGAGTCTTCGAATTTGTTTCCATGGACATATAGTCAAAGTTGTTTTCCATGAACAGATATCAAAGTAGTTGTCTCTGAGTACGGGGCCGATCGCCTCGCTACGGCTTCAACTATTTATAAATGCAGCACAGTCAGCAGTGGCGAAGGGCCGTAGAGACAAGGCGGCGAGGCGGTCGATCGCAACGGCCACCGCAAGTGTTCCACTATGGCTGCAGTAGTCCTGAGCGCCGCAGTGTGCGATATTGAACATGCGTTTTCTCTTTCTGCTTGTCCACTGCAGACTAAAGCGCGTCACGTACAAACGTGGCTCTCGGCGTAGATCATGATACAAACTTGTCTTTCTCGGAGGTAAAATGGCCGTCAGCGGTTTGTTTTGTGTTTGTGTGTGGGTCGTGCATGGACCGCGCGGTCTTATGTCAATTACAGATGGCTAGACGAAGTTAATGGTGTCCAGGTTGGAGTGTTTAGATGGTCGTCTCCGTAATTTGTGAGGGAGGTTGCGATGGTTGCAAGAAACGCAGAAGCCTCGGGCCCTCAGCAATAATTGTTAACGCTTGGTCAATGGCTGGCTACCTGACATGATGCGTATGAAGAACTCGATGAGGCAGTACTGTTGCGCTTCAAGTGACCGGCACTTTGCTGTCACAGTTCTTGACCTGATTTACGATGAGTACCTAGACAGCACCGGGAACAATATCGTGGCAGGAAAGTCGAGTATTGTACATCTCCTTCACGTTATCCAGGGCGACACTCTGCGTCACGGTTCACTGCGTAATCGATGTCGACCGTGACGCAGAGTGGCTTTTAGCTTGGTTTTAAGAGGTTGTTATTAACAGGGTCGACCATGAGACCGAGTGGCGATGCAGCTTTGTCCTTCGACGAGGGCTTGCTAGCACACGCGCACGTAGGTCGTCACGGGAGCTTCAGTTTCCCGCACCATAGCATCAATATAAGCGGAACTTGTTCACTTATTAAGCAAAAATTGCAATTGTCACGATCTCTCATATCAATGTCTCCACGGTGGTACATATTTCGTCGTTTTGTTGCGTGCTTACCGGGGACTCGTCAGCTTTCAGTTCAACTAAATTAACGCTGATTCATCTTTACGTTGATCGGTCAGGCACTCGACCTGATCCACGTCGATTCTAGGCCCAGATCGCGTTTGACGATAAACTCGTCGTACTATCAGATACGAAACTGCTTATGTACGCACTTCAAGGCTTGGTGTGACAGTGTGGTGAGGATAGGCATGTTGTGACAGGGACAAGAAGGAGTGCATGGCGGCTTGATTAAGGCTCCTTTTAGTCAACCAACTGCTGCACGGTCTATTCATACATGCACGGGAAAGCTTCGGCATTTCTGCTTTGACCTTTTTTGGTCCTTTTCATGCCGAGCCAATTTTTTCGTCATTTTTCGTGCACACGTGCGTGCAAGGGCTCGTTGCTGCCGTGTTAAGCCTACACTAGCGTCTAACGAACGACTGTTGTGCTAACGGTATTGAGCCAGCTGAAGTGAGACTTTAGAATTGATAAGTCACGCTGACAGTGACGGATCTATAATTTGATACGGAATCGGTAGAGCGTAATGCTAAAAGTATTTCTTATGTCGAGACTCCGTAAAGTTTCTGCATTGTCTTGGACCCTACAATGACATCATCGTAAGAATAAAAACCAAGCTAGAACAATGTGGCTTATTATGGGTCAGATTATACTACCAATAATGCCAAAGCACTATGACGTTGATACATTCCTCCTAATGTTGCTACTAACGCAAACAAACAAACGCTATAATGATTAAGGCACCTACGGCGTCATCTACATTTAACGCATGCTCCCACCACGGCAACTTCGATGGGTTCTTCGCAATTACCTCCACCGTTTCTTTCACGGTTTCTTTATACGTCGCTCCTTCAGGGTCTTGAGCCAGGGATCGTTCTCAATATTCTCGAGATACTTGCTCAAGTGACTGTTCACTTGTTCCTTCGAAAGCTTCTCCTGTCCCTCCCCCATGTTGGCAAGTTTGGTGAGTTCATCTTTTATTTTATCGTTAATTGTCTGGTCATTCTGAGGTCCTCTTTTTAAGACCATCAATGTGGTTGCTAACCTTCGCAACTAATTCCGCATCAGCTGTCTCTAGGTGCGTTTGCAAGCAGCTAGTAAACCATCAGGTTCTCAGGTGTGCTTGTAAGTGGGGCAACGAAATTTGAATTGGTTCGGCAAGATTAATAGCATAAGGTGGCCAATATCAGAACGAGGAATGTGCGCATGGTGAAAGCCAACGTTTCTATACCAAAGAGAGCGAATTCGAAAATAAGCTAGAAAAGAAGTGAAAGATAAAGCCAGAAGAGAAGTGCAAGGCAAAGCCAGAAGAGAAGTGCATTAGTAATGGAGAACGATCACTTCTTGCTTCCCTGAAACATATATTCAAATCTCATTCCTTTTTACATAATAAAATCAATGTCTAAAATATAATAGTAGTGTCCGTTACTGTCTATTTAGAAAAAATCTATAACATTTCGTTTGTTCGTCGTGCTCCTTTTCTATATAATTAAATGTCCGTAGTGCTCCTTTTCTATATAGTCAAATGTCCATAGTGCTCCTTTTCACATGAAAAGTCCACGGTCGCATCGTAATTGTCTGGCCCGGTTACGACGTACCCGTCTGGACCGGGAACGAGGTGCTCAAAAGCGTGCCCAGGAGACGGAAGAGCAGTGTGCCGCACGCCGGCAAGTGGAAGCTGCTATGCGCCGTGCGCAATGTTTACGTCGGCGGAAAATAGCGGTGGATCCGGGCAGTCGGAGGCGGACATAGCGGCAGAGCGCTGCGTCCGCCTCCGGCTGATCGGCTCGGTATTCTGCCACGTGTTCTTGCATATGGCAATGGCTTCACATGCGACGACCTCAGAATGTGTCGGTACTTTTAGAGGCAGACTCCGTGATGCGTCGACTGATGCGCAAGGTTGTATATAGCAAAGCGCTGCGTTGAGGATGCCAATATACCCAGTTTATATACTATCCGCAGCACAGACTTTGCGCATTATGTCTATCGTTCCGACGGGTACTCATCCTAGTTTACAAATTTACTTGAGAAAACGTCACGGCTTTTATATTTTTGGACTTGTGATCTACTGCTGTTGCTTGTGGTACTTGAAGACGTACCGGCTCGGACATTGTGGTTTTGTTTTTTACGATCATTATTGCAACAGACAAACCTACTTTATAATAATAATAGTCAATACGATAATGATCGTATTATCGTAATGAATATTATTATTATAAAGTAAATGAATATTATAACGCATCGAAGCCACGTATCGACTATTGTCCAGCATTGAAGAGTCCTACACTTGAAAAAGAGACCAAACATGTCTACACTTTTAAGCATTCAAGCAAGCCATCATTCCAAAAGAAACCATCTTGAGCATAGACACCAATTAAACTTTGACATCACCGTCTTTCTTATTGCCGATCCTTTTTATGCGTTTGATTACAACCACATAACTTTCAGCTGTGTAAGAAAATGGGCATTACAGTAGTAACGGCTCTTCGTTGTTTCAGGGAAGCATAAGAAGCTGCGGAGGTGGTGCGAGGCGTTTATGGATCGACGGTAAAGAGTGTGCAACAAATTCGAGCCCAATCAGAGGTTTATATATTTGGAGACAGGAAAGCTGAGACTCACCGG